CAAAAAAAAAAAAAATACAAAATTAGCCAAGCGTGGTGGCGCATGCCTGTAATCCCAGCTACTCAGGAGGCTGAGGCAGGAGAATTGCCTGAACCCAGGAGGCAGAGGTTGCAGTGAGCTGAGATAGCGCCATTGCACTCCAGTCTAGGCAACAAGAGCGAAACTCAGTCTCGAAAACAAAACAAAACAAAACAAAAGTTGACATGGTGGCTCATGCCTGTAATCCCACCAAGGTGGGCGGATTGCAGGTCAAGAGATCGATACCATCCTGGTCAACACGGTGAAACCCGTCTCTACTAAAAATACAAAAACTAGCCGGGTATGGGTGGCATGCCTGGTAGTTGCAGCTACTTGGGGGGCTGAAGCAGGAGAATCACTTGAACCGGGACAGGGAGGTTGCAGTGAGCTGAGATCACACCACTGCACTCCAGCCTGGGCAACAGAGTGAGACTCTGTCTCAAAAAACAAAACAAAACAAAACAAAAATTAGCCAAGCATGGTGGTGCACACCCATAATCCCAGCTACTTGGGAGACTGAGGCAGGAGAATCACTTGAACCTGGGAGGTGGAGGCTGCAGTGAGTCCAGATAGCGCCACTGCACTCCAGCCTGGGTGACAGAGTGAGACTCCATCTCCAACAAACAAACAAAACATAATTAAATTGCTATGAAATACTCCAGGCCAAAACAAACAAACAAACAAACAAACAAAACAAAACAAAAAGAAGTAACAAGTGGGAAGAGGGAAAAGACATCGAGATGAAACAAAAATGACCAAAGGTTGAAGTTGGGAGGCGGCTGCCTGTGGGGCTGTCGTTCTTTCTATGTTGTGAATATTTGAAAATTTTTCATAATAGGATGAAAAATATAAATATTCCCATCAAGTGGCTTGTTGCTACTACCTCATCTGAAACTATAAACCTCAATACTCAGCTCCTTTAAAAGCCAATAACTGACTGGGTGAGGTGGCTCACACTTCTAATCGCAGGACTTTGGGAGGCCAAGGCAGGAGGATCCCTTGAGGCCAGGGGTTCAAGACCAGCCTGGGTAAAAAAGCAACATTCTGTCTCCACAAAAAATACAAAAATTAGCTGGCTGTGGTGGTGCATGCCTGTAGTCCCAGCTACTCAGGAGGCTGAGATGGGAGAACTACTTGAACTCGGGAGACAGAGGTTGCAGTGAGCCAAGATCGTGCCGTTGCACTCCAGTCCAGGTGACGAAGCCAGATGTTATCTCAAAAAAAAAAAATAGCCACACATAGTGGTATACTCTGGTAATTCCTTCTACTTAGGAGGCTGAGGCAGGAGGATTGCTTGAGCCTGGGAGTTTGAGGCTGCAGTGAGCCATGAACATGCCATTGCACTGCACTCTAGCCTGGGTGACAAAGTAAGACCCTGTCTCCAAAAAAAAAAAAAAAGGTAATAACCGTATCAAGGAGCATTTTATACAACCTTGCTGCATCAGCCTGTTAAAAGCCAGAGGTCCGATTCATAGACAAATTCACATTCCCAAGACACACTCACTGGTGGCATCTGTCTGGACATAAATGATGTCGCTCTTGGCTCCGTAGGTCCGGCGTTCATCCGAAAAGGTGACCAGGGTCTTCACAAAGATGGCATACTGGGTCCAGGGCTTGAGACCCCGCATTAGCCATCCTGGGTGGTTCTGTGATTTGGGGTCGTTGGACCTCAGGGGCGGGTCAATGTCTACCACCGTCCAACTGTTGGAACCACACGCATCCTGCCCGTCAAACTCCGTCACATTCTGGTAAGGGCTTTCAAGACAAAACAGCAAGGCGGTTACCTTTATAAAACCATCACATTACGGCCGGGCGCAGTGGCTCAAGCCTGTAATCCCAGCACTTTGGGAGGCCGAGACGGGCGGATCACGAGGTCAGGAGATCAAGACCATCCTGGCTAACACGGTGAAAGCCCGTCTCTACTAAAAAATACAAAAAACTAGCCGGGCAAGGTGGCGGGCGCCTGTAGTCCCAGCTACTCAGGAGGCTGAGGCAGGAGAATGGCGTAAACCTGGGAGGCAGAGCTTGCAGTGAGCTGAGATCCGGCCACTGCACCCAGCCTGGGCGACAGAGCGAGACTTCATCCCAAAAAAAAAGAAAAAATAAAAAAAAAAGACCATCACATTGAGCACCGTGCAGGTGAGGCCTGGGAAGTTACATCCTGTAGGGTCACATCTTACTCACCCAACAATCTTATGCCGCAAGAAAAAATAACTCGGGAACAGCCGAAGAGGAAAGAAACCGCCAACCCTGACATCTCAATGAAAAAAACACAGCTTGGGCATCCCTTATTCAAAATACTTGGGATTTGGCCAGGCATGGTGGCTCACGCCTGTAATCCCAGCACTTTGGGAGGCTGAGGTGGGTGGATCATTTGAGGCCAGGAGTTCAAGACCAGCCTGGCCAACATGGTGAAACCTCATCTCTACTAAAACTACAAAAATTAGCAAGGCGTGGTGCTGCATGCCTGTAATCCCAGCTGCTCTGGAAGCTGAGGCAAGAGAATCGCTTGAACTCGGGAGCAGAGGTTGCAATGAACCGAGATCGCACCACTGCACTTCAGCCTGGGTGACAGAGCGAGACTCTGTCTAAAAATAAATAAATAAATAAATGACTGGGACCAGAAATGTTTTGGATTTTGGATATTTTTGGGTTTTGAAATATTTGCATTTTACTAGTTAATTTGCATTGTACCGGTTCAGCATCCCGAATCTCAAAATCTGAAATCTGAAATGCTCCAATGAGCTTTTCCGTTGAGTATCAGGTCGGCCCTCAAAAAGCTTTGGATTTTGGAGCATTATAGATTTCAGATTTTCAGATTAGGGATACTCTATCTGTAATAATAGTAATAGCAGGAATTTCCTCGCAAGTTATTGATAAGATTAGACTGTGTGTAAGTTCTTAGCAAGGCACAAGGTCAATCTTGGGGGCTAGAACTATTATTAATATTACACTGGCCAGGTGTGGTGGCTCATGCCTGTAATCCCAGCACTTTGGGAGGCCAACGTGGGCGGAACACCTGAGGTCAGGAGTTTGAGACCAGCCTGACCAACATGGCAAAATACGTCTCTACCAAAAATACACAAATTAGCTGGGTGTGGTGGTACATGCCTGTAATCCCAGCTACTCAAGAGACTGAGGCAGGAGAATTGCTTGAACCCGGGAGGCAGAGGTTGCAGTAAGCCAAGATCGCGCCACTGCACTGCAGCCTGGGCGACAGAGCAAGACTCCATCTCAAAAAAAAAAGTTGGGGAAAAAAATGAAAAATAGATAAGCAATACATTTGATAACATGCGCTCAGTAGACTGAGCTCCTGACTACAAAGGATATCTGATGAGACATACACAGGCAAGGCAAAATGGAATATTGCCCCAGGAAACTGGCCAGTCTGGGCTTCTACGGGAAAGCTGCTCGCTTCCATTTTCGGCATTTGATAAAAGCAGACATTATTGACTTTGCATACCATTGACCGGTGAGATTGTAAAAAGGAACCTAAGGTATTTATTCCAGGAGGAGGAGGGAGATAGAGAGGAACCCGAGAGGGGCAGATTGGGGCACAAACGAGGCAAGCACAGAGCCAGCCGGCCCTCGCCTCTGCAAGGTCTAACTCTTCCACTTACGCCTCTTTGTAGAACAGCATGAACCCCAGGAGGTCTCGGAAGTCGGGGGGCCAGTACGGCTCCCATCTCAGCAAGATCTTATCGAAAGATGTCCGAATGTAAGAAAATTTAAGTAACTCATTTTCACCTGGAAAAGTTAAAACAAAAGGCAGAAACAAGCTATTTCAGTGTAGTTTCAGACCAAAGCCTGGGACCCCCACACTTCCTGGAGGGACTGTGAGAAGGGAGAGGTCCGGCTGCTATTCCCCTAAGGGTCTCCTCCCCATGTGCCTGGCTGAGTATGAATGGGGGGAGATTCAAAGGCAAGAAACGGTTTTGCAACTTGGCCGCTCACGCTCACGTAAGCCAATGACTTGACTCAGCCAGACACTCAACTGAATAAGGGCGATCTGTGCCCGCGCGAGAAGGACAACCGGCCAACAGTTATTGGAGGAAGGGATTTCCAAGGATGATGTTTGTCCTGACACAATGTTGTCTCACACGTGGACTTCTAAGACTGACCTGGAAGGAGGTGCAACTCCAGTGCAAATAAACCCATGCCAAGTGAGTTTAGAGAGACTGCAGACCATTAGACATTGGAGAGACGCATCTAAGTAATTCTCTCTGCCTGGAAGGCAAACCCTCTCCTAAACCTCACCCCAACCTCGTTCTCTCTTCTTGTACTATTTTTTTTTTTTTTTTTTTTTGAGACAGAGTCTTGCTCTGTTGCCAAGGCTAGAGTGCAGTGGCACGATATCTGCTCACTGTAACCTCCGCCTACCGGGTTTAAGCAATTCTCATGCCTCAACCTCTCAAGTAGCTGGGATTACAGGCACCCACCACTGCAGCCAGCTAGTTTTTGTATATTTTTTTAGTAGAGATGGGGTTTCACCACATTGGCCAGGCTGCTCTCGAACTCCTGACCTCAAGTGATCTGCCCGCCTCGGCCTCCCCAAGGGTTGGGATTACAGGCGTGAGCCACCATGCCCGGCCCTTGCACTACATTTTGACATAAGTAGCTAACTCCCCATGGAGGTGTCACAGAAGCCCCTGGCAGCTCACTGCTCAGAATCTGTCAGGGAAGTGCAGTCA